TTACAATCACCTAAGTATAATAACAAAAATCAATGTTCTGTGTTTCTTCTTGCATGCAATACAGGGATTTTACTTTACCTGGGTGGAGTCATGTTAAATTGCACCTTTCTCTTCCATTGCTTCTTGTTGGGAGTCTTAGTAAACTATTGTTCTATTATCAGCTTTAGTTTGAGACTTACTTCCTGTCTGTATTGCTACTGCAGTTGTAGCAACAGAGGCAAAAATGCCCTTCTCATTAGTATCCTGTGCCACATATAACCCGCCCGGCACTGTTCAACTTAACACTGTTGTTCCTTTTCTGAAGACCCCTTTTCATGACTCTAGACTCCTGTAACTTGAAGAACTCAGCAGGGGTGCCCCTTTACCCACAATGCTCTCTTTAGAATAGCCTTGCTGGATCGAATAATCTAATCCAGCCTATCATTGCCATTTGCCAACAAGCAGCAGCAAGATGTCTGTGAGAAGCCCATAAACAGGGCATGAGGACAGTAGCTCTCACTTTGCTGTTTGCCCTAGCACTGTTATTCAGTGGCACACTGCCTCTGAAGATGGGAGACTCCCATGAATTTCTTTAAATACTTAGAATATTAATAATAATTATTATCATATGGCATTGTGTATAGAATAGCAAGGAGATCCTAAGATGGTCTGGCAGCCAGATGTTCTAGCTCTTTTAGCATTATGCACCACTAGGTGGCAAGCTAGACTTGTTTTTAAGGCAAGAGACGTTTCAGAGGTGGTTTGTCATTGCTTACCTCTGTGTCATAACCCTGGTATTCCTTGGAGGTCACCCTTCCAAATACTATCCAAAGCCGACCTTGCTTAGCTTCTGAGATCCGATGAGATTGGGCTAGCCTAGTCTATCCAGGTCAGGCATTTAGAATATTAATATCCTGCCTTACGTGAAGCTGCCTGATACCGAATCAGACTATTGGTTCATCACGATTGATATTGTCTATTATGACTGGCAGTGGCTCTCCAGGGTCTCAGACAGATAGATGTCTTTCACATCACCTACTAACCGATGCCACCACGGATTGAACCTGTGACCTTCTGCATGCTAAGCCACAGCCCCACCCCTATAAGGCCTACTATGAGGTAGTGGGTTTTGGCTGCCATTATGAGCAGCAGAAGGAGTGGTGGTGGACAAGTCTGATCTACAGGGCACAAGCCATTGGGATGTTGCCACATGCAAGCTCTGTTGCAATTAATTGCACAACAAGGGCACTTCCATCATTCTGACTTCAATAAGGTTTGTCTTTTATGGGTTTTATGGTTCAAGGTCTTTGTCTTTTATGGGTTTTATGGTTCAAGTGTATTTATGATCTGTTGTAGGTCACTTCAGGTATGCTTGTCATGGGAAAGGGGAACAAAATGTTTATTGAGAACTTCCCCCCCCAGATGTGTGTGTGTGTGCGTGCATGTGCGCGCAAGTGTGCATGTACCTGGAAGTCATGGTGATCTCTGCTGACTTACTGTGTGTGCACCTAGAAGTTGTGGCGACCTCTGGTGACTGACCCCTACTAGGGGCCTGGAGGATATTCAGAGAGGTGGCTGCATAAAGCCTGCCCCCACCTCCCGACGGCTGGTATTTCCAGGAGGTCTCCCATCCAAGTAGTTGCCAGAGTTGATCCTGCTTAGTTTCCAAGATCAACAAGAGTGGGCTTGACTAGGCTATCCAGGTCAGCGCAATACTGAGAACCTTTTAGTTGGTTTCCCTCTGTTAATTGGTGGCAAAAGGAACGTTTCTGCCCGAAACACATGTCTTGGGCTGGCCTGGGTTTCTACCATTCTGCCAGTACATACTGTTGATAGAAAACACAAAGCAAGTCTTCCACATTGAAGAAATGAACTGAAATCTTAAGGGGGGAAATGGTTTGTATGTGTTAGTGTAAAATAATTACAAGCTATCTCTCTGGTAATAGTAAGATTTCTTGCATGCTCTCTCTTTTTAAATACATTTGTATCCTATTAATCCCAAGGCTGAATTTTCTTCCTAGCACCATTTATTTATTTACAATATTTATATCCCATTTTTCTCTGGAAATAGGACTCAAAGTGGCTGATATGCTTCATGGACCCAAATTATCTTCCCTTAAGAACATAAGAGATGCCAATGTTGGATCAGGCCAAAGGCCCATCCAGTCCAACACTCTGTATCACACAGTGGCCAGAAATACCAGTGCCATCAGGAGGTCCACCAGTGGGGCCAGGACATTAGAAGCCCTCCCACTGTTGACTCCCCCAAGCACCAAGATGACAGAGCATCACTTGCCCCTTCTGTCAGCAGGGCTGGCCTAACCATAGCGATAAATTACCAGGAAAGCGATTGGGTTGCTAAAACTCCCATCAGTGCCTGTGCTTTTGGAGGAAGAACTTGGAGATGGCTTAACAACTCATGGGTCGCGTGACCTCTCTTGCATCCTCGGCTATGTCAGCCAAGAGCCTTTTGATCTTTCATGAAGGGAATGTCCATCAGTGGATAGTAATCATAATGACTAAAGAAAACCTCCATATCCAGAGGAAGTAAACCTCTGCTGGCAGTAAAGCAGTGCTGGGAGGCAACATCAGGAAAAGCTTCTGTACTGTGTTTGGTAGCCTTCTAGGGCAACTAGGCAGCTGCTGTGGGACTAAGTGGACTATGGGTCAGAATGCAGCAGGGCTCTTATATTCTTATTACTTGCCAGAGTACTGATAGAAGGAAATATGAACTAAGGAAATATGAACTTACAACAAATGTGTAGCCCTTTTAAACCAAAAGAGAAGATGAGAAGAGACTGGATTTACACCCTGCCTTTCACTACCTGAAGGAGTCTCAGAGCGGCTTACAATCCCCCTTTCCCTCCCCCTCCCCACAACAGACACCCTGTGAGGTAGGTGGGGCTGAGAGAGCTCTCTGGAGAACTGCCCTTGAAAGAACAGCTCTGAAAGAACTTATGACTGACCCAAGGTCACACCAACAGCTACATGTGCAGGAGTGGGGAATCAAACCCAGTTCTCCCAGATGGGCACTGAAAGAGAAAACAGTAGGTCAGAGAGAAGCCACATATGTGTGGAAGGGCAGGCAATATTTTTATTTAAATAACTGGAATGCCTCTGTTGACTAATTCCTTCTTCACATCCTCTTGCCATCAGCAGATGCTCACCTACGTCTCCATGACATCTCTTCTACTCATTACCCTTCATCTCTTTTCTTCTGATGCCTCTATCATACACAGTGTAAGTCCTCTGGGAAGTGTGTCAGATTTAGACCATGACCTCTGGGTTCAAATCCCTGTTCAGCCACAAAGTGCACTGTGTGACCTGGGGTCAGTCATACTTTCCTCCCCCCCTTCATGATCCGAAGGAGTCTCAGAACAGCTTACAATCCCTTCTCCTTCTCACAACAGATGCCCTGTGAGGTAGGTGGGGCTGAGAGAGCTCTCTGGAGAACTGTCCTTGAGAGAACAGCTCTGAAATAACTTATGACTGACCCAAGGTCACATCAGCAGCTGCATGTGGAGGAGTGGGGAATCAAACCCGGTTCTCCCAGATTAGAGTCCACCACTCTCAACCACTGCACCAAACTGTAAATAGGGAATTGCCCAAAAAGATCGACACAACCACATTTAACTTTAAGAAGGGGTAACTTCTCTCAATTCATGGGGCTTTTGAAGAAAGGTAAGGTAGGTCAAATCTCTTCAGGAAGTATGGAGACTAATTAAAACTACAATACTGCAAGCTCAGGTAAAATATATACCACAGGTACAAATAGGTATAAAGTTACCCATGTTGATCTAATAATCCCTAACATAGAGTCCAATGGCACTTTTAAGACCAACAAAGTTTTATTCAAGGTGCCATTGGACTCTAACTTTGTTCTATTGCTTCAGTCCAACATGGCTGCCCACCTTGAGCTTTCCCTAACACAGAGTTTGCCTTTTTCACCCCTGCAACACACTGGGTTGACAATTTCATTGTGCTATCCACTAGGACCCCAAGATCTTTCCCCCTCTCAGCCTCAGCAAGTTCAGATCCCACTAGCCTATTGTTGAAGGTGGGATTTTCTTGTCCTAATGTGCATCACCTTAAATTTACCAACACTGAACTTCATTTGCCACACTGTTGCCCACTCACCCAGTTTGTGGAGACCCTCTTGGAGCTCTCCACAGTCAGCCTTGGTTTTAACCATCCTGAATCATTTTGTGTCATCTGCAAACTTGGCCACTACACTACTCAGCCTTAGTTCCAGATCACTGATGAATAAATTAAATAGTCCTGGCCCTAATACCGATGCTTGTGGGACCCCACTGCTTAGTTTCCTTCCATTGTGAGAACTGTCCGTTTCTTCCTACTCTTTGCTTCCTGTCATTTATCCAGTTGCCAATCCATAAGAGAACCCCTCCTCTTATCCCACGACTGCTAAGTTTACTCAGGAGTCTTTATAAGACTACACACTGACCCCACGACTGCATGTCTTCGGAACGGAGCTGAAGTGCTAGAAGAAAGCCGGTTGCATTACCTCACAAACATGCATGGACTGAGACTGCGAAAATACTAATGATGTGGGAAACAATTCATATAATACTATATTATTACGGCATTCAGAGGCTTTGGATAAAGGTTTGAGAAGCAGCTGAATGTTTTCACGGCATGACCACTGTCTGCTGTTTCTTCGACACATGCAGGCACGGCAGCACAGACGGCCAACCCCCTTTGGTATTCGGCCCTGGACGGGAACTGTTGCAATGCAGAGGGACTGCAGGGAGGAAAGAAGAGAGCGCGGGGGACGCCCTAGGGGAGCCGAAGCCACCCTTCCAGAGCAGATTTCCACGGCTGCCTTTTGCTACTGGCTCCAGGAAATCCGGAACGTGCTCCTACCTCTACCGCTTTTTTGCCAGGAAGCCACCCTCTGCTTGCTGGGCGCTGCTTCGCTTTGCACTCTCTCCCCCCCTCCTCCCCGGCTGGCAGCCGCCCAGCATGAGAGAGGCGAAGGAGGAGTCTGCAAGGGAGGAGTCGCTGTCTGCTATGCAGTCAAGCAGCAAGCGGGGGGTTAAGCGCCGTTGGTCCGCCTGGGCGCCTGCCTCGCTCACTTTCCTTCTTTCTCGAAGATTGCCCTGGCATTTCTTCCGCGCCGAGGTACCGGTCTAGATCCAGGTAAAGCGGTGGCCGGGGGGCGGGGGGGGGGAGCACTGTGGGAGCTGAGATTCATTGGCAGTCCTGGGAGTTTTGGTAGCAGCTGGAGGGGAGGAGCAGGCGGAGAAGGGGGCGCAGAGGGGAAGCGAGTTGCACTTTTGCGAGCTCGCCTATTACACAACGTCGTTTGGGGACGGGTGGAGGTTCTCAGCCCAGGCGAATCAGCCGCTGTCTCCGTTGGGCTTGATTTGGGGGAGGGGGGAGGATGAAGAAACCCGAGTGCCAGGAAAAGTGAGTTGCAAGAGTTTAGTCCCTGTTGGAAGTTTTTCCTGAGGAGTCAACCAGAGTCAAGGCTCAGACCCAGAACCTCTTTTCCAAAGGCCTGCGTTCCAAGACATGCATGCATAATGGTGAATGAAGCACCTCTGGGCATGTGCAGAGCGTCGCTTCTCTCACCCTGAGGAACTACAACCAGTCGAGATGCAAATAGGATTAAGGCACCGATAGAGACACGGCAGTGCAATCGTTTAGAAATTTAAAAACTGCATGTAAATTGAGTTACACTGTGGCTTAGCTGGCAAAGCAGAATGTTGGCAAATGTGGTTGTTTGCTCTGAAGGAAGAAAGACCGAATTCATTTGTTTCAGATGTTTTGGAAATAATTACATATAGGAAACCCTTTTGCTGTTTCCAATCATTTTCCTCTGCTGCCCTTGAATGCTGCTATTAACTTGCAGAATGTTCCTACAAACTTTGTTCAGTTTTGTCTTTATAAATCGTGGGAGGATGGTTATTACTTCTTTCTGTAATTTGGGAAATTACTGCTGCACTTAAACTTGTTTTATGGAATTCACTGCCCAATCTTGTGCAGAGTTACTCCAGCCTAAATTGATCTCTTTCAGTGGAGTTTAGACTGGATTTTTAACTCTGTATGGTATCGTGCTGTCGCCAAAACAATTGGCCCCGGTTTACAGGTTGCTTTGACTTAGAATTAAATCAGCTTAGTGGAACATCTGTGTTCAGAGGCAGTAGTCTTCAAAATACCAACTTGCAGGAGGCATACAAAGAAGAAACGTGTTTATACTCTGCTTTGTGAGTTTTCCTGGAAGCATCTAGCCAACCACTGTCAGAAAGAGGATGTTGGGGTAAATGAATTTGTCTGATCCCATAGGGCTTGTCTTAGCCTGTTAGTAGCTGCTAGCCGTGAAGGCTAAATAGAACCTCCATGTACAGTGACTGGACCATTGATCTGCCACTTCTCCCTCTCCCCAAGGAAAAGTTGCTCGCCAGAATCACTAGCACCTGTGCCATTCACACTGGAAGCTTTTGGGGAGGAGGGACCTTGGGTCTGAAATCCATATTTGAACCCTAATTTGGTGGATTGATTGCTCAAATGATGCTTCTCTATCCAAAGGGAATGAAATTAAACTTCATAATGTGAGTGCTTAGTTCTGACTCCTCTTGGATGACAAAAACCAAGTGGTTATTATAAAGGGCTCCATGATGTTGAGAAGAGAAAATGAAAGTGTTACCCAGTTTTCTGTTTCTGTATACCAAACTTCTCCAGTGAGCCCAGTAGCCCAAGGCTGGGTGTGTGTGTGTGTGTGTGTGTCAGAGGACACCTCATACCAGGAGCCACTGTGGTGTGGTGGTCAGTGTTCCCTCTAAGCTGTGGAGTCTTGTGAGCAAAAATTCTACTTTGTGAGCTACTGGCATTAAAGCTGTGAGCAAGTGATTTGGCTACTGAATAAATTAGTTTGCTCTAGAGCCATCCTTCCTGAACTAAGACAAAAATCTGTGAGCTGGAGGCTAAAAAACTGTGAGCTAGCTCACACTAACTCAGCTTAGAGGGAACACTGGTGGTGGTTAGAATGTTGGCCTAAGACCAGGGATAACTAGGTTCAAATGCACAGCCTTACATGGAGTTCACTGGATGATCTTGGGCAGCCAGTCATTCTTAGGCTAACCTACATCACAGGGTTGTTATGAAGATAAAATGGAGGAGGGGGATCTGTGTTTGCTACCCTGAGTTCCTTGAAGGAAGGGTGGGATAAAAAAATGCAAGACAAAGAATCAATTCAGACCCCAGAGTGTAGTCTTATAAAGCAGCCATAGTGCCAGAGAAGGTGTTTATTAGCTCTTACCCTGCACCATTTTCCCAATTGGAATAGGGCCCCCAGAACTGTTTTAATCCCTAGTACAGATTGCCTGGAAGGCCAGATAATGAAACTGAAGCTCAAATACTTTGGCCACCAAATGAGAAGGGCGCACTCACTGGAGAAGACCCTGATGCTGGGAAAGATTGAAGGTCAAAGAAGACGGGGACGGCAAAGGATGAGATGGTTAGACAGTGTCATAGATGCAACGAACATGAAGTTGAGCAAACTTCAGAGGACGGTGGAAGACAGGAAGGCCTGTCGTAGTCTGGTCCATGGGGTTGCGAAGAGTCGGACTCGACTGTGCGACTGAACAACAAAAAACAGATAAAAGACAGGCACTTGAATTGTGCCTTTTTAAAAGCATGTGCTTGGGGGGGTGCTTTTAATCACATAAATGGGTACATGAGGGGAAGAGTTACTGTGTCCCAGTACAGATGTTTCAAAGGGCCAAATCACACATCTGGAGTTCCACTCCAGCATTCCATGTGGTTTGGTCCTTATTGAGGCTGGCCTACAAATACATTCTGGCTTCAGAATAGTCACATGACTGTTCACCTGTGGTGGGTAAGGGCTGCCAGATACAACAATCCTTTTACCTTGGAAGAGTTTTGATATCCTGTTGTAAGACTGTTGAGGTGCCACAAATGATTCATGTGTTTATGTTATGGGCACGCAGGCTGAAAAAAAATTATATGAAAGTTGTTAACTGGGATTGCAGGGTTCAGTCAGATTCATAAATTAGATTAATCTGTTTTCAAACCGCTTGACCTACTAAAAGGGCACCCTGTTTAATGAGGCAACACACATTTTTTAAAAATGAAATTTTGAAGAAGAAATACTTACAAAATCTGCAAGTGGCAAACTCTGTGCCAGGGTTCATTAGGAAAGGAATTGAACATAAAACAGCTGATATTATAATGCCCCTGTATAGATCCATGGTGCAGCCTCATTTGAAATACTGTGTACAATTCTGGTCACCGTATCTCAAAAAGGACACTGCAGAGGTGGAAAAAGTGCAGAGGAGGGGCAACCAAGATGATTAAGGGGTAGGAGCACCTTCCCTGTAAGGGAAGGCTGAAGAGTCTGGGACTTTTGAGTTGAGAAAAGAGACGACTAAAGGGGGGACATGATAGAGGTTTATAACATTACGCGTGGGGTGGAGAGAGTTGACAAAGAGAACTTTTTTCTCCCTCTCCCAAAATACTAGAACTCCAGGGCATCCAATGAAGCTGATGGGCAGTAGGTTCAGGATAGACAGAAGGAAATACAACTTTACACAGAGAGTGATTAAAATGTGGCATTTGCTGCCAGAGGTTGTAGTGATGACCACAGGAATAATCAGCTTTGAAGGGGGATTAGATAAATTCATGGAGGATAGGTCTATCAGTGGCTACGAGCCATAGCGACTGAAGGGAACCTCCCATGTTCAGAGGAACAAAACCACTGAATCCCAGTGCCAGGAGGCAGCCTCAGGAGAAGGCCTTGGCCTTTATGCCCTGTTGTTGGCCCTCCAGAGGAACTGGTTGGCCACTGTGTGAGGCTGGATGTTGGACTAGATGGATCATTGGTCTGATCCAGCAAAGAGGCACCTCTGGAAGTCAATGGAAGACAGGAGGGCCTGGCATGATGTGGTCCATGGGGTTGCGAAGAGTTGAACTCGACTTTGCGACTGAGTAACAACAACAAAAAGCAAGGCTCTTCTCATGTTCTTATGTCATTCATCCATGTAAACAGTTTTTCTAACTATGGTGGTTACTGAGTTACACAAGCATTATCTCATACCAAAGAGTTTTTTCCACCTTCAGAACTCTTTTATTCCTATGCAGATGTATGCAGAATTAATAGATTAAAATTAGTACAATTAAAATCTCTTTGAACTGTTGACATTTTCTATAGACTAATTTACAACTAGTTAATTCAAGAATTCTTTATATATTGCAATAACGTGCAAAGCACTGAGACGGGTGCTTTGTTTGCAACTTAGTTGCAATTCTTTTTCCTTTTGGTCCCTTTGGGCTACTTTTTAATTTATTAATTATATTGTATCTTTTCATCCTATAATTCCTCCAAGAACCTCAAGGCAGCATGCGTCAGTTTTCCCTTCTCCATTTAACTTCCAACAGCAACTCCGTGAGGTAGAGTAGGCCATGGTGGTAGAGTGAATGCTCCAAATTCACCTGAGAAGCTTCGATAGAAGGGTGAGGATTTGAACCTGGGTGTCCCAGATCCTAGGCTGACACTCTAACCACTACACCAAACTGTGGGGTTCCTCAGACTTTGTGAATTTAGGAAATGTACTGTTTTGTAAATGCCTCATGGAAACCAGGCTGCTCAAAGTTAAAGCAACAGAGATCCCCATGCAGACATTACCACGGGTTGATTTCTTTCATCATAGTTCATTGTTTCCCCCCAATATCTAAACCAGATCTGTGCAGCCTGACCTACTAAGTCCACCAGATCCCTGCAAGGTGCATCACACCTCTTTCCTGTTTTTGCGGCCTCAGGTAGGCAGCAGAAAGTTCATTGCACTCCCTGTGGGCTACCATCCATGGCTGGTGGGCTGCATTTGACTTGGGAGGAGAGGGTCACCAGCTAGGCGGACTTACCCATAGTAATGAGTAAGGATGGGCCACATACTGGCATGTGAAGCCAAGGTTTGAAATGGACCTGTGTTAACCATGGTTAAGCATTATATCTAGGCTGAGCCAGCTGTGATGAAGGTGGTTTCCCTGTCTCTTCAGCCTCCCTGTTTGGGAGCAGGTCTCATCCTACCACTTCAGTTGGCCTGTCTGTTGTTGACCAGAGTCAAGTCTTTTCTATCATGGTTTCGGCTCTGCGTAATGGCCTCCCTAAAGAGGTGAGA